ATGTTGTGTTACTGCTTGCTTGGGTTAGATTCAATGTTGAACCACAACGTTTATGAGTTGGCACACAGGAGATTAGGGCATGGGAAGTCATAGGCTTGGTATTATATAGACTCGGCGGCGATGGCTGCTTGTGGGCTGACAGTAGTTTGCATAAGATACGTGGTCTATGTGGCAAAGGCCATGACACTTACTCAGAGGTTTAGCCTCAAATTAGTCACCCAGACGAAGAATAGGGCCAATAACGCCCCAAATGGCACAGATGGGGTGGCAGGGGTCGAGTGAAATATGTGAACGAGCGAGAGAGAAGACCGATCTTACGTGGCAAGAGAGAGAGACTGTGGTAAGACCTATGGAAGGAGAATTTCGTAACAATATGGCAGACTCTGATCCACATTCTCAGCACAAGGATGAAGGGGGGTGAGAGGGTCAGCGTGGAGTGCGGAGGGTTCTCATTAAAGCTGCTAAAAAAGGGCACACCGTACCACATTTAATTAAACAATTAAAAAATTGTGACGGTGAAGGCGTGATAGGAAATGTGAATAGGCCAGGGCAGAATGGATGATACCATAACTGTTTATCACACGTTTGATCAGAGGATCGGCTTCATTTGCCTCTTTGACGAGCTGTTGTGTGGTGCTAAGAATGGCGAGACTCAATGACGATGCCGACTACGATGTCGGAGAAACATCTGGGAATGTACCACGTCCACGGTCCGACTTTGGAAATGATTATGCATACAATGGACTCAGGACAAGGTGCGTTCCTCCAAGTCTTCCTACCAGTATGACCAAGTTGCGAAAACAAGGTCAAACAACTTACATACAACGAAAGGAGACTGCGATCACACAAAAGGCTTCATATCTTTAAAAATAAGTAAGCTGGCTTGATCATTTAACTAAGCCAATTAGTCAATTCGGTGGAGTGAATACGAAGTTGTTCCAAATTTAGCGTACTTACATAAGAGATACAGTTTCATTTAGGTTAAGAAGACCACCAGCACGTAATGTTCATTGCCAGGTGAAGAAGTATGATTGAGCCGAAGGAAAGCAGTAAAATCTGTTCTTAGCCGTTACATTATTGACCATCATTGGTGTCATCATCAAATATACAAGAGTAGCATTCAATGATCTTAAACTTTGATCACAATGAACTAGCGAAGTATATCAGATCTAATTAAGGCAATTTAAATATTTTCTCTAAAATAGTGCATTGTAGGCCAAGGAACACGAAACTAGCCCACGAAATCTAGAAGTTATTATTTGAGGAAAATAATCACTTACAGTTCTCTTTTTTCCTTGAATTCCAGGAGCTGGAATTGACCTGGGCAGAGTCTGGGTTTTTCGGATCTCTTGACGTGTTTTTCCTCTTCGCAAGCCACCAGCCCCCCCTGACTTAACAACAGTGTTGAGAGCGCCAGTCAATCCAGTGGCCGCTGCAATGGTTGCGATAGCTTGGCGATCGATGGAAGTGATCTGCCCAGCTCCGGCAAGTCGGTCAATTGCCTCATCTATGGACTGACTGGCGGAAACAGGGCCTGGTGTTTTCGTTGGGCAGCGATTCGTAAGGCCACGCTGGCCGGGCTTTGGATAAGGTCCAGTCGTAGCAGCACTTTCAACATCACTGTCGCCAGTTCGGCTAGGCTGGCCAGCTGATCTATTGGTACCCAAGCCATGTTGATGAGAGGGATGGTGGCAATAATGAAGTTGCTGAGAATCCGCTACACCCTGTTCCTTATCTACTTCCTGGTCTCCCTCTGACTGTGGAAAGTGGTGATGATGATGACTATGGTGATGGCGATGATGATAAGAGCGATGCCGATCGCCTGGTAGCGTTAATCTCACCTCTTCTACACCCTTCGATTCATCCTCAATATTGTCCCGTTTTTTCAATTTGTGTCCGCTAACAGCAAGATGCCTGCTAGGAGAGGCAACCGTTGATAAGCCTTTTCTAGCTCCACCCTCGCTAGCGGCATTTCCAGCTTTTGCACTCAGATTCTTTCTTATTTCAGTATGCACTTCATCCTCTTCTTCCTCCTGCTCATCATCTTGCTCTTCATCACTAGTTCCCATCGACAGGCCTAGTGATTGCCGATGTAGGGGTCCAAGAGCTCCCAATCTTCCAACATTTTGCTGACGCCGTCTTGCTGCTGATGTATTGTGCAGTTCCTCATCGTCACTTCGACTACCTCCATTTGGACGTAGAATACCAGAGAGCGAAGGCCTATTGACTTCATTTGCTTTTAAGGAGTTATTGGTGTCAGTTATACAACTTGAAGATACAAGCCTCCTCCGCTCATTTACACCTTTTGTTTCTTCATATTTTACGTTATCTTCATCCTCGTCTTGAGCATCATGGTCCTCTTCGTCATCCTCCTCTTCTTCTCCACCGGCTGGATCCATCACTTCGGAGAGGCTTCGACAGCTGCTGGCCCAACCGACGGACCCAGTGGCCGTTTGAGCGAGTAGGCTAAGGCAAGAGCCGACATCATAGGTTGAGTGGTTGAAAGACAATGCTGGAGAGGGTAAGGCATCAAAAAAGTATCAAAGATAAAAGTATTCTAAAAGCAATACTAAAATGAAAGCTAAAGCAAATATTGAATAACCATACGTATATAAATAAAGGAGAATGTCTGAGAAGTACAGGGAAACACGATTATGGTATGTAAAATAAGCAGCTTTACAAATAGGAGATATTCCTAGTGGAAGTCTTAGTTTATAGTGTGCAATCACAAAGAGATGATTCCGGCTATGACGAATGACCTGGATTCAAGATTTCACAAAAGGAAAATGCTTTTAATAGAAGGTATGAAGAACAAGGTGGTGTAGCCTTTTGTATGGTCACAGTCTCCTTTCGTTGTATAGAAGTTGTCTGACCCTGTTTTCGCAACTTGCTAATATTGGTATGAAGATCAAGAGGAACGTGCCTGGTTCGGAGTCCATGCTATGCATGATACTTTCCAGAGTAGGACAGTGGACGTGGTATATTTTGAGACGTTTTGCTGGCATTGTCAGTAACCCTTAGCAGTCTTAGCACTACACTATAACTCGTCAAAGAGACATATGAAGCCGATCTTTTTACCAATTGTCTGTTTAACAATTGTGGTATCTCTCCTGCCCTGGGCTATTTACCAATCCTATATCCTCGTATCACCACTCCACTATCACAATGACTTATTTAAATGTGGCATGGTGTGCCCTTTTATAGCGGATGCCATGAGAACGCCCCAAACACTATGCTGGTTTTCTCACCTCCTCACTCTGCAATTCTTTTCCAATATGTCTTATCAGAGTCTCCCTCTTGCCCCGTATGATCCGCCTCCTACCTTCCTGGTTCAGGTATCTCACTCGACTCCTACGACCTTATCTGTACTATTCGAAGCGTTATTTCCCACACCGTCTCAAGCCTTTGGTTGCACGCATACTCTCGCCTCTCTGAGTAGGCCTTTAAAAATCAGGATTCTCAATCTGGATGGAATACTAACTTGAGGCTAAAGATCCCAAATAATTCTCATGGTCAAGCCTTTGTCTTATGAACCATGTCTGATCAAACACGTCCACTGATAGCAAACTAGCTCTAGTTTCCGCCGCATCCATCGTGCTTCTATAAATAGTGCCAAATTTATGATTTCGTATGCACTAGTCTCTTGTGTGTCAACCCATAAATGTTGTGATTCTACTTATTTTGATTAGGTTCAATGTGTAAAAACATTTTTGGGTTGGCACACATGAGATTAGAGTATAGGACTTCATAGACTTGGCACTGATAGAAGCGCAATGGATGTGACGGAAGCTTGAGCTAGTTGGCTAAAAGTATACGTGTTTGATCATAGACCTGATACCTAAAGCAAAGGCTTGACCATGAGAATTACTTGACATCTTAAGCCTCGAGTTAGTCTCACATCCAGCTTGAGAATCCTTATTTTTAAGGGCCTACTCAGCGAGGCGGGAGTAGGTGTGCCATCAAAGGCTTGAGACAATGTGGGAAATAGCGCTTCGAGTGGTGCAGATAGGGTGACAGGGGCCGATTAAAAAAATATCTGAACCAGGAAGGTAGGAGGCAGATCACACGGGGCAACAGGAGGACTCTGATAGGACTTATATGGAGAGAATTGCGGAATAATATGGCATAGTCTGATCAACATTACCAGCACAAGGTTGAAGGGGGTTGAGGAGGTGGGGGATAAGAAAGTCAGTGTGGGGTGTAAAGACTTTTCATGAAATCCGCTAAAAAGGGCACACAATACCACATTTAAATAAAAATTTCGATAGGGAAGGGATGATATGAGGATATAGAGTTGGATAATGGAACAGTGCAGGAAAGAAACCATAATTGTTTGGCAGACAATTGGTCGAAGGATCGGGTTCACTTGTCTCTTTGACGAGTTGTAATGTTGTGCTAAGAATGGCTAGGCTTACTGATGATGCCGACTAAGATGCCGGCGAAACGTCTGGGAATGTGCTACGTCCACGGTCTGACTCTGGAAATTATCGTGCATACTATAGACTCCGGACTAGGTGCGTTCCTCTAGGCCTTCCTGTCAATATGACCAAGTTGCGAAAACAAGATCAAACAACTTCTATACAACGAAAGGAGACTGCGATCATACAAAAGGCCACACCATCTTAGTCTTCATACCTTCAATAATATTATTAGTATTGTGAGGCTATTAATATTAATATCAATTATTTATTCTTTAATAATGTTGCCGTTATCTTATAAATCACGATTATTTAAAGCAAATATAGATCAAAATAGGTAAAAAAAAACATTCGAAATTAGTATACGTTGTCTCACATTGTTGAAATACTTATAAAATCCTGAGTATGTGTATCCGAGCGATGCTCCGGTAAATCTGGGTTGATAAGCATAAAGTATAAAACAGGATCTCAAACATATTGAATATATTATACAATTTCGCAGAAACAAATCTGTTTTCATAATAAAAAGTAATCCAGTAGGATATTAATCCTACAATACGATACAATTACTTCCAGACTGAAGAAATGCTTTGATGGTTCTTTAATAATATAGATACGAAGAAAAACTGAGTTTCGATGAATCTCCTGAGATTACATTGTTGGGGGACTTTCAGTCCGTATGAAAGTGCATAATCTATCGACGTCCACAAATAGGGAACTTGATCAGGTATCGTGTGGTTTGGTTAAAACTAGACTCAAGGAAAGCATTAACAAACTACACGAACTAATTAGAACCAAAACTAGGCTTAGGCAATCTCTTTAAGAAACATTGAAGGATTTAGATTTCATTAAGTTACAAGGCATGGTTGACCAATTAAGAAAGGCGATTGAAAGAACTACTCATCGGATACATGATAAGAAGCTCCGGAATTAAAGAATTAGAATTAGGTCGAGAAACTTTGCGCCCAAGGTAGCAAAGTGAGGAAGGATAAGATAATTAATTTATCTTGTACAACTCTGAAGGATAGTCTAATACTTTTATTGGAAAGAGGACTTTATTTTGCTCTTCCAAATGAGGTAAACCATTCTCTGGAAATACTTGTTGAATTAATTAGCTTATCGGATAGATTGCCTGAAGAGGTAAGGAATAGTATTGAACCGGAGGTGATACCTCATTTTGACCATATAATACAGCCAAAGAAAGATTGTCATCTGAGTAGGGTTTCTAGTTACTTCTGTGGTAGTAATCTAATCGTAATGAAAGCCGACAAAGGTGGAGCAGTGGTAGTCATGGCTAAGTCAAGTTTTGCAGAAAAAATGTTAGTTCAATTAAATGACAATGATGCGTATCGACCTTTACTGAGAGACCCAACAAAAAAACTTAAGACTAGGCTAAAGGATGCCCTTAAGGTATGCGTAATAAAGGTGAAGTGGAGAAGTAGAAAATGAATTCACTAGTCCAGAGAGATGCAATGGCCCCCACGGCTTACTGTCTCTCTAAGGTTCACAAGGAGAGTGTACTTCTAAGATTAATTGTAAATAATAAGGGAAGCGTGATGCATAAAATCTCACGTTTTTTATGCATACAAATAAGGAACTCTGCTAATTGTTAGCTATATTCAGTTAAAATTAGTATGATGTTGTGAAATTGATTAAGCAGCAGACACATTCTGAAGAGGATAAACTAGTAGGTTTTAATATTGTGTCTATGTACACAAACATTCCTGTTCAAGGAGCTATTCAAGCTCTGATACAAACTCTGGAGGAGCATCCAGAGATGACACAAGGAATAAGGCTGAGTGCAGCTTCCAGTATTAGACTTATCAACCCATCTATGAGTACCACATATTCTATCTTCGATCGTAAATTATACATGCTTACAAGCTTACATCTAATTATCTTAACCATATTTGCTATAGACTTACGCAGGTTCGTTCAGGGCTTTCTCTTGCGTCATTAAGCCTTCATGACCGGAGCTTGACATTTGCCTTTTGATCACTCTGATTTAGGACCGGTATTGCGTATAGACGTTAACACATATAAACAAACATACGAGCAAAAGTAACAGAACCAGTATGAAAGATAATTAGCT